TTTTTAATGAGTCTTGCATGCCATGTTTAGAAGGAAATCAAAGAAATGTTTCTGATAATAATGCTCAGATTGAGGTGGAGCCTATTAAATTTGGAAATAACAATGATGTACCATTAGAAATTGAAAATACTGATTTAAATCTGAATGAAAATGATGTTGAGCAGAGAGAGACTGAACCTGTTAATATCATAGATTTACCTCCTGATGGATACCAATTAACTCGGGATAGGGAAAGGAGACAAATTAGGCCACCTGCTAGATACAATACTGATGAATTTGCTTCCTTTTTCACCTATCAAGATGAAACTGAGACTGAACCTTACTCTTATTATGAAGCTATAAAATCAAATGATAGTAAGAAATGGTTAATTGCCATGGAGGAGGAAATGGACTCCTTATATAAGAATAAGACTTGGGATCTGGTTGATAAACCTAAAGAAAAGAAATTAATTGATTGCAAGTGGATATATAAAATTAAAGATGGGGAGGAGGGCAACAATAATATTAGGTACAAGGCCAGACTTGTTGCTAAAGGGTTTACCCAAAAACAAGGGGTTGACTATGATGAGATTTTTTCCCCAGTAGCTAAATATACCACTATTAGATGCATTCTTGCTTTGGTTGCTCAATTTGAGTGGGAATTAGATCAATTAGATGTTAAAACTGCCTTCTTGTATGGTGATTTAGATGAATTGATCTATATGAGACAACCTGTAGGTTTTGAAAAGGGTGATCCAAATAAAACTGTGTGTTTATTAAAAAGATCTTTGTATGGGCTAAAACAAGCTCCTAGACAATGGTATAAACGTTTTGACTCATTTATGTTAAAACTTGGCTTTAATAGAAGTAGCTATGACACATGTTTATACCATAAAGGTAAAGATAATAATAATTCTCTTTACTTGATTCTCTATGTTGATGATATGCTTCTTGCCAGTAGCTGCAAATCTGAAATTGAAAATATTAAACAAAAGCTTAAATCTGAATTTGAGATGAAAGATCTTGGCCCTGCCAAGAAGATTCTTAGTATGCAAATTGTTAGAAATAAAGAAAAAGGGTTGCTGTTCTTAAATCAACAAAACTATGTGAATAAAGTTTTAAAAAAATTTAACATGTTTGAATGTAGATCAGTATCTTTACCTCTTGCAAATCATTTTATTCTTACATCAGATGCTTGTCCTAAAACTGAAGATGAATTGTCTAGAATGTCAAGAATTCCTTATGCCAATGCTATAGGATCAATAATGTATTTGATGATATGTACTAGACCTGACTTAGCCTACAGTATCAGTGTCTTGAGTAGATTTATGGCCAACCCTGGTGAAAGTCACTGGGAAGCTGTAAAATGGTTGATGAAATACTTAAAGGGAACATCTGATATAGGATTAATATTTAAAATGAATAAAGAAGGGGTAATACTAAAAGGATTTACTGATTCTGATTTTGCTGGAGATAGAGACAACAGGAGATCCACTTCATCTTACTTTTTTACCTTCTGTGGTACTGTTGTTAGTTGGAAATCTCAGTTACAAAAAATTGTTGCTTTATCCTCTACTGAGGCAGAATACATTACTGCTACTGATGCCATCAGAGAAGGAATATGGTTAAATGGTCTTTTAAATGAGCTTGGTTTTGTGAACACTAGTCCTACTTTATATTCTGACAATCAGAGTGCAATACATTTGAGTAAAAATCCCATGTTTCATGATAGAACTAAGCATATAGATGTTAAATATCATTTTATAAGAGATGTAATATCAAAAGGATTGTTAAATATTGCAAAAGTTGCTACTTTACATAATCCATCTGATATGGGAACAAAAGTAATACCTTTAAATAAGTTTCAGAACTGTTTAAAGATATTGTCTATTGATTCTTTTCACTAACTTTGCAGGAACTAGAGCAAATGAAATTGTAAAATGTTGGTTAAAGCTCCTGGCTGCACTATACTCAAAACTGTTGGAAGCAAGGTGGAGATTGTTGGGTTCGAACCCTGGACCCTTGGTCATATTGCTTCCACAGTTTTAAAGCTGAAATCGTGTTTAATAAGTTTGACACTTCTTTCATTTTTAAATAACAACATTATACTGGATCATGACACATGTGATGATGGTGGCCGTTGGATCAAGCTTCTGGATGCTTCTGATATTATTTACTCTGTTTGGACTCATTTTTACTCAGCTGAATCGTCATTTTTTCTTCAAGGGTTTCTCTCTGCCGTTTTTGAGTTTATACGCTCCTTCTTGAAAACTCTTCGAGTTTTCTCCTCTGTGATGCGATTCCTTGAGAGATAATAGTGAGGAAATACAGTAATCTCACTGTAATACTACTGATTGTATGAATGCTTAACTTTTCTGAGTGATTAGTATCAAGAATCTGAGTGATTCTTGAGTTCGGTAGTGGCTTGTAACAGATCTGAGTGATCTGAGTGATTCCTGAGAGAAGAATAGTCCTAGCACCTTCGTGTAGAAAGATAAGTCTCTGTGACTATCTTGTGATCTGTATTTCTGTATTTTGACTTCCATATTTTTGAGTTTTTAGTGCAACCGAGCTAGATCCGTTTTATAATGGATGCTCAACAGGGGATTAGGCTTTAAGCTGAACCTCTGGGGCTTCGGCCGAAAAATCCTTGTGTTTTCACTTTACTTTCTGCATTTAAATTTCTGTTTTGAATGGTTTTGTAAATTTTGGTTTAATCGTGAATGACTTCTTTGATTAACAGCATGATTGTGTAAATTTACATTGGTTTGCCCAAATGATCGGAGAAGAAAGAACTGATGTACTATTTCAATTCAACAAATAGTGACATCACCATTTCTGTTATATATTTTTCCACCCTAACCACGATATTCAATTGAGTTATGTATTACATCATTGACACAAACTATATACATTTAATTCTCATGCCGAACTTGGGCAGTAGGTCAACAGAATCCCTTAGCTTATGAATGGGCTAATTTGAAGACAAAATCGTTACACACACACAAAACAAGTATTCTACATGATCAACAATCTAAAACGGTTTGCTCATCTTTTCCCCACCATAGTCTATTTTTCTCGGCTTCATCTTGGCGCAGCCTGTGTACTTTAGCCTTTGTCTCCCTTAACAGAACCCTGTAATCCTTTTTCCATTACTGAAATATGAATTTCAGACTCTGCAGTTCCTTCTCAGGATCTGTAGCCTCGTCATCAATTTTTTTCCCCCTTGCTCAAGCTCCTCCTCAAGGGAACTGATTGCATCTAAACCACCACTAGTAAACTGACCTGCTTCAAATTGCATAACACTGTAAGCAAATTTGAGATAGGTGCTACCACCAGGAGACTGAGTTGACATGGACATAACCTCGATCTCTTAACAGCAATATGATGAGTCGTCATCAATCCTACCACATACAATTTTAACACCTGACATAAGTTCCAAAATCAAGCGATCAGTACTATTTTTCAAGTAAAAAAATTGTTATCAGAAAATTCTAGTTGGCTAAGGTTTCAAGTAATATCAAAAGCTTCGGAAAAAGAGCATAATAAACTAGCTTGCAAAGTTGCTTTATGCTTTTGCCACACTTCCTCCAGAGATTTCGTCTTAGCTTCATATTCAGACCTTTGTGCCTCAAATTGTCTTTTTTGCAATCCTAGAGCAGCATTTTCCTTTTCCCCGAGAATTGCCTCTGCCATTGGCACCTTCCTTTGAAGTTCTTCCACCACAGAAGGTAACATTTCAGGTGGCACATCCTGCTCAGCCACCAAGAGTGTATCATTTAATGTAATATTATTTAAAAAGCAAAGAAAAATTTTGAGTTTACGTGTAAAATATTTTATTTTGAGAACGTGTTGCTGAGAATAAAAAGAGTTTCTTGAAAATGATTTACACAACATCTTATATAAATTCAGTCGGAGAAAGTATAATAGTGAATCTCAATCTTGCAGTGCAAAAATTGTATCCAATTTGACGTAACAAATACTACCTACCTGAAAAATTTGAGCCTCTAACAAAGTTTTCAAGAAAATAGTCCCAAGAAAAAGAATGAACAATTTTCGAAATGATCAATATATTTTTTTTTAAGTATATAAAAAAATAAAAATATATAATCAATCCCCATTTTTAATGTAACCTAATTCTGTCTGGCTAATAATTTCGTTATAAAATAAAAATATCCTACGTATGTAATTGAAGACACGTCTCTTCCTCTCTCTCTCTCTCTCTCTCTCTCTCTCTGCGCAGAAGTGAGGAAATTTCGAAAATGAATATGGCTATAATCAACAATTGCAGCTATTTAGGCACTCGTTACATCACAAATTCAAGCTACGAGCATATGCCTAAAAGAATCCATGGTAAGTTCTACATCTATCCACTCGCTGGCACATTTTTGAAGCGTAGGCTCTTGAATTCTCAAGCTTTGGTTTTATCATTGTGTTTTTTAAGGTATTAAAGACAAGGAGCATTCAAAGTTCTTCAAGAGGGAGTGTCTTGATGGTGAAGATGTTGTATCACTGTCAAAGTCAAAGACTAGCAAAATTAGATTCCCTAATGTATTCCTAAATTCGGTTGCAGGTATGCACATGAATGTTATTTCCGGTAATCTGATTAAAAATATTTCATTTGATTATTATTCACTTTCATAATAGTACTATTTTGTATTTTGTTTAATTAGAATGTGGTTTCTTTTTCAAAATTAGAGCTGAAAAACCTAGAATTGAACCTGCTCAATTTACTTTTGGTCCTTTTCAGGATATGTACTAATTTAACTTCTTCTTCATCTTCGTCGTCGTCTTCTTCTTCTTCTTCTTTTTGGCTTAAGTTGAACTTGCATTAGTGGCAACAGAATAACTGATTTTAGTTTTGGAATTCGCTGCAGCAAATTTGCTTTTAACACACACTGCAAATGCTTTTACTGGGGAAGATATCAAGGTGAGAAACTTCGTGCTAACTTTAGTAGCCTAGTTTTCTTTTTTGAGTGCTTATCATCAACGCTAGAAAGAAAGGGTGTGTTTTGTTAACTTGAGAAAGATCCAATAGGTGTCTAATTTTTGGCTTTTACATTCTTCTTGATTTTGAGAGAAAATTTTTAACTTTATTCGGTTGGAACAAGAATCTTGCTCTACAAGTAGGAAGAAGAATAATTAAGTTGAATTATGAAATTTAGAGCATGTTTGGGAAGCGTTTATGAAGGTTTAAATTATAAATAGATAGAAAAGTTATGAGTAGTGAATAAATGGCTAGTATTTGTGTGTCCCTCGAAATATGTTTATAAAAAGTGGGTTAAGTGTTTATAAACATGAGCCAAACATAGCTTAGTGCTGCTTCCAACCTTTATTTTCTGAGCATTTCGATGTTTGCATTTTTCATTCTGTAAACCAGTGGTGTCTTTATCTTTAGTATTATAAAAATTGAAGTAACAGTGTTTTACACACAATTTATTTACTTACCGAACCAGTATCTCAATCTGGATTTCTTCTCCTGCTCCCCCCCCCCCCCCTTCCTTTTTTTTATTTGTGTTTTTTTTGGTGGGGG